CTTGCAGGATCTTCTTTTGGCCAGCCAAAAAACGGCGTTCATAAGACAAAAGTCTACGACGATTATCAGTTCCCTTAGCATCGTCTTTGATTTTAGCAGGGCAGGGCAACATAGTGTCGGCTATTTTGAGAGGTATGCATATTTCAGCAATGTAATACTGACTGAACACTAGTAGTAGTGATATGAATCCCAGTACCATCAACTCTGTCACCAACAAACCAAATTAAATTACAATACAGTTTTAAATCATAAAACGAAACGAGATTAATTATCGGCGATGTTCTACCTACCTGCTTTAACCTTTTCCAGTGCCTCGTAAAGAGCTTTCTTATGCCTCTCTGTTAACCACTATATAAAGAAAAAATTCACAACTTGTTTCATTATTCCAATCCAACCATTCAATATATATTGAACACTAACAAAACCAAAACAACTTACTTAAGTTTGAGGGTAATAAACAGAAAACACAACCTTACACAGTTGAATTGTTTACTTAGAAATGAGTAGCTAGGCTGTACAAATTCTGAAAACAAAGTCAAAATACTATGCTAAAACAGAACCCACATCCATACCAAACATTGACAATTAAGGATCTTAAATTCTTGATTCTTGAACCAAAAAAAGAACATAAACCCATCAATTAAAGAAAAAAAATCCAATAACAGATAGAAACACACAAGTCAAATAAACCCGAAATAAACAGGAAAACGGAAGGGGAAAAAAAAAGATATCGACAGAAGAAAAAACACACGAGTTCATGAAAATCAATTCCAGTATTTGGTCAACGGCATGAGGAAAACATTTTATGATAGATATCTTACAGTTCCAACTTTGTGGAGGACCTTCTCCAAGATAATAGAGAGGATAATAATAACGGCACAGACACCAGCAACTGCCCATGTTGCTGTCTGATCAAGATATCTCTCTTTTGGAACTTCTTCTTGTGCCATTTCTCTTTTTCCCTTTTTCCAATTTCCAATTTCAGCTTTTGCTCTGCTGTTTTTGACTAAATAATAATCTCTCAATATCTCTTCAACACTGTCTTTATATACTACTACTAAATAATAATAATGATAATCATAGTTGCTACTTGGAACAATTTTATACGCTAAATAAATAAATAAATAAATACGTGTCTTTACAAACTCAGCAGCAGCAGTCCTTTTGCGACAGCCTATTTATGGGACCATTCAGACACGGCGGCCTAACAATTTCTACTCCCCTTCTTTTTCTTTTTCTTTTTTTTATTATTATTAATAGTTTAACCAGGGAGGATGGGGTTGAGATTTAGAGATGGGTTTCAAATTTGAATGGAAAAATAATTAAACCATTATTATATTTTTGGTATAATTAATATTTCCAAAATTTTACCAAAAAGGCATGGCATGATTTATTCTTTTCTTATTAAAGAAAGACAAATATATAAAACTAAAACACCAAAAAGAAGTGACTCGTTCATGCCATGTAAAAAAGTCAAAACAAGGGGTGGAGAAGAGATCACAGATTGAAGTAATTGCAGCGTTGACCAATCCCGAGTAGATTAGATGGAGTCAATTAAGAGATTCTAAATATAATATTTTACAGTTTCAGTTTTGTTAATTCATAAAATAAAACTTGATAATAGAGAATAATTAATTAATTAATTAGGTAGACCCCACAGCCTTTGTCAATTTGATATATTCGATCATATTCAATTACATGTGACAATTAATGGTCTCATAATCTCATCTTCCTTTTTCATTTCTTTCGAAGTAGACAAAGTCAACATATACAAGTTGTTGTTGGTCTAATTTACTTAATAAAATCGAGCGTGTCGACCGGATTACTTTTTGGACTAGGTCGCCACCATCTGTGAACTTTCTATATGTGGAATTTGTATTATTTTCTTTTTTTCTTTCTTTTAAATGTAGGCAAATATCAATATATTTTTTTTCTCTTAAAATAGTTTATTGAATTTATAATTGGGGCAATTTGCTATAGGTCCTCCTATAAGAGATTATATGTATAAGAGATTATATGTGTTAAAATCCATCTAATAAACTCTAATTTCCAGCAAATTTTTGTATTTATAATTTGTCAAAAGTACCCCTATCAATATCCCTAGTAATATACGGTAAAATATATCTTCAAAATCAAATCCCCCATTTCTCTCCCTATTATACTGCAAATCCGAAATTTATAATTGCAAACATCTGGAATTCGATTTTCTCCCCTATTTCTTCAAATCGAAAATCTCACCACGAATTTTGAATCCTTCCATAGGTTTTGGGCAATTGGTCGTTTGCAGTTTTACCAGGTCGGTTGCATTTTGTCTTCGTTTTCGATTTGCTGTTCAATATTTGCATTTGTTTCGTTTGTTGTTTACAAATTTGTTTCGATTTGTTTTCGATTGTTGTTTACAGGGTTTCGAAAATTCCAATTGCAAAAATATTGAAATCGATTTCATCAATGTTGCTTCAAAGCGAAAATCTCACCAGGAATTTTGAATCCTTCCATAGGTTTTGGGTGTTTGATTGTTTGCAGTTTTACTTGGTCTTTTGCATTTTGTCTTTGTTCGATTTGTTGTTCAATATTTGCAATTGTTTCGTTTGTTGTTTACAAATTTGTTTCGATTTGTTTTCGTTTGCTGTTTACAGGGTTTGTTGTTCCGAAAATTACAATTGCAAAAATATGGAAATCGATTTCCTCCCTGTTTCTTCAAAGCGAAAATCTCACCACGAATTTTGAATCCTTCCATATGTTTTGGGTGTTTGATTGTTTGCAGTTGTACTTGGTCGTTTGCATTTTGTCTTTGTTCGATTTGCTGTTCAATATTTGCATTTGTTTCGTTTGCGGTTTACAAATTTGTTGTTCACTATTTGCATTATGTTTCGTTTGCTGTTTACAAATTACCAGGTCTGAGCATTTTGCCTTTATTCCGTTTGCCTTCGTTCGATTTGTTGTTGTCCAATTTGACTTCGTTCTGTTTGCAGTTTACAAATTGTTTGTTGCTCGGAATCAACGGCTGGTGTTTAGGGTTTGTTGTTTGGAGTTCATACGATGGCCAAAACACGATTAAGTCTTGGTAATCAATGATCCTTTGTGTAAAATTTTATTTGCATGTTGGGTTTTCGCTTTTGATTTTTTTTCTTTCATCTCGAAATTTGTATTTTGTTCCTTTTTGCTTTTGTATTTTGTTTGTTTGCTATTTATTTCAAATATTTCAATAATAATTTGAGAACCCGTTTTTTTTCCCCCCTAACAGCAAAGGATGATGATGATTTCCAATCCCCGAAATCAGGTAAATTGAGGGGCTTCTTTATGTTACGATTTTGGTTATGTTTATTCTAAAACAATACATTTGAAGAACCTAATTATGTTTATTCTAAAACAAACATTACAAAGTCGTTTGTTGTTTGATTTGCTGAACCAGTTTGCCCCCCTTTATATTCGTGATTTTCCAATTGTTTGTTGTTTGAAGACATCGGCTGGTGTTTCTGTTTGGGATTTATACAATGGACAAAAAACGATTAAATCTTGGTAAGCAATGATTCTATAAACTATTTGTATGATTAGTGTGTGCATTTTGAATTTTTTTGTTCTGCATTTGCATGTTGTTTATTTTATTTTCAATTTTGTTGTTTTTATTTTATTTTGCATTTTGCTGGTTTGCAATTTATATCGAATAATTCGATACTAATTTGAGAACCTTTTTTTTCCATGAGGATGATGACTTCGAATCCCCAAAATCAAACAATTGAGGGGTTCGGTAATGTTATAACTTTGGTTATGTTTATTCTTAAACAAAATGTAGCTGCATTTTAAGTTACAATTATTAAGGTTTGTTTGATGTTAGTCTGAGTTTTTAGGCGTTTTTTTAAACTCGGTTTGCATTTTGCTCTTTAAAGTTTGTCACTTTGATTCTGTATTTTGCTATTTTTGTGGCTGATTTTGGTACTTATGTAATCTGAATTTTGATTTTTTTGGTTAATTTTGAGTAGTGTTGTTAGTTGTTTGCAAATGATGTTTGCTATTTTCAAGTACCATTTTTATTCGACTAATTCATGTATCGTTTACTTACATATGATGTTTTTATTTGTAGTATGCATTTTGCAAGTCTTGTATAAACTTGCAAAAGTTGTTAGTTGTTTGATATTTTGCAATAACATTGTTTGGATAATTCCATAACTCTGATTTTTCCCTTTTTCTTTTCCAACAGCCAAGCCAAATAAAAGGAAACAAGTCACTAAATCATCGAAAAGGAAAAGAAAAATCAACTCAGACTGTAGTCGAGACCCAAGAACAACCAACCGTTACAGAAAGAACAACCGATTCCACAATGTTGTTCAAACCTCATTTTGTAATCCGGTGTATTACAGTTTGCAGTTTCAGTTTACATTTGTTGATAAAAGGGTTTCATCTTTTACATCACCTTGCAAATTCCAAGTTTAAAATTGCAAAAGAAAATGATTGTTTTGCTATTGCATTATGCAGTATTATTTTTTCTCATACTAATACAAATCGCAAATTTATGTTTGACATTTTAATGTTTGCAATTATTCATCGTGCAGTTCGCTATTTACAAAATGATATAACAGTAATACATAATTAACAAAGAAAAAAAAAACACCATTGTAAAATTTGCAGTCTGTTTACCATTTCTTTAGTATTTTGCATTTTGTTGTTGTATGTAATTTGCATTTTCCTGTTACAACTTACAACTTGGAAAAAAATAAAAAAAAAATTGTGAATAAGATAATTGAATAGTTAAAGATTTTATTAAATAAAAATATGCAAATAAATATTTATGATGAAATTATACCAAAAAATATAACAAGTAAATATCATATTACAACAATTTAAATATGTGTTTTCAAATTTCTTTTGTTGTTTGATGTTTGATGTTTGTTGTTTGGAAGCAAATTAATAATAAATGCAAACATAAAATTATAGAGAGAGATAAATATGTAAGTAAGAGAGAGAGAGAGAGGGGGGGGAGGCGTGAGAGGGTGAGAGAGAGAAAGATATGTAGATAGGAGAGAGGAGAGAGGGGAGAGAGATAAATGCGTGTGAGAGAGAGAGAAAGATATGGAGAGAGGAGAGAGAAAAAAATGAGAGTGATTTGTGGGTCTATTTCTTTATTTTCTAAAATAATATTTTTATATAAATATTAGTTAAGGATATTTGTGTCCATATACAATTAATTTTATTTAATTCATATTAATTTTAATAGGCAAGGGACCTACACCTATATTCATCTAATCACTTGGATTTCCACATATATAAGTCCAAAATTGGGGGTGTCTAGCAAATTTCCCCTTTATAATTATGAACTCATTTTTGGAGAAACTTCTCTCGTCTTTTAATACTTTTATAAATGGACAATTTACTATAGGTCCCTCTATATTAGATTTTATAGCCATAAATCCAATTCTAAAATTATCTTTGGAGAAACTTCTCTCATCTCTTAATACTTTTATAAATATGCAATTTGCTGCTGGTCCATCTATATTAGATTTTATAGCAATAAATCCACCTCATAAGTAGGATTTTAAAATAAATTTATTATATATTTTGTGAAAAAAAATGCCCTTAATAGTATATGGAAAATCACCAAATAATCAATCCAAATGGTATAAACCGTGATTCCACAAATCTCTCTTCAAACTAAAATCCCAACAACTTCTCCCCGAAACAATTACATAATCTACCATCTCAAATCCCTCTCAGAATATCGGTGTAAATGCTGAAACCTGGCTACCAAATTGCAATTCGTCTTCCATAGCAATTAGCTTGAAACCTTTTCGTTGTTAGAAATATTTAGTTTGCTCTTTGAATTCGTTTGCTATTTGTAGAGTTTCGTTTGCTATTTGCATAGTTTCGTTTGAAGTTCGGCTTCTCAGATGCGTGTTCACAACAACATCGGAATACCTCAACAAAGCCAAAAGATGGTTCAAACGCCTCAAAAACCTTGGTAAGTAACATACTTACAACCTAAAAGTTTATATGTTTTTAGAAATTTTGGTAATGATTCAACAACTAATATCTATGGGGCTTTCTTTTCGCATTGGAGAAGGATGATGACTTCGAAACATCACTGGCTTGTAAAAAGTTCAGTCATTTCTAAAGTATTGATGATACGGGTCTTTTCTATTTCTATTTGGCTTTTTTTTCGTTTGGTATGCATTATGGTTGTCTTTTTCTGTAAAGTATTTGAAATCTACATATTTCGGTATTTCGCCTCGTTGTTGTGCAAGTTGCAAGAATTACTTATCTGCAATATGTTATCACTACTATTCAACACTATTTGTTGGTTGTAATTAATTTCTATTGTACCAATTACTTGGCTTCACTTTGAAATTTCTCATTTCTTGTTTGATATGGCTTTCGGTTTGAAGTTTCTTGTTCGCAATTTTTTATTTGAAATCTTGTTTGTAGTTTCTTGTTGTTTTTGTAAACTGCATTTTGTTGATTTTCATATGGTTTGCATAGTGTGTGCATTTTGTTGTTTGTTTGCTATTTACTACTTGTTTGTAATTGAGCCATCATGTTCTTGTTTGCACATTGAAATTTTCTTGTTTGCCATTTTTTGTTTGAAATGTATTGTTTTCAGTTTCTTGATTGCATTTAATATTTCGGTAATTAATGATTAGTTATACCATACATGGTTATGATTCAATAATTGCACTTTAAAAGTTTAATCGTACAATCTTTTTTTTTCTTTTTTTGCATTTGTATATGATATTTGCTATTCTCAAGTACCGTTTTTGTTTGGTTAATTCTCGTATTACTTACATATGATGCTTTTTGTTTTCATTTTACATTTTGCAAGTCCTTTATGCACTTGCATAAATTGTTGATATTTCATCTTTGCAATAACATTATTTAGCAGACGGAGTGTTGAAAAGATAATACACTTACTAAATTGAACACCCAAATTAAGATTTTAATAGTAAAATATGAATCGGGACTTTTCATCAATATAAGAGAAAATAGTTATTGATATACCTGATTTTCCATATGAATAAAAACAGACGTCAATATGGCATAAAAAAATAAAAGTGGATAAGTTGTTTGGCGGCTGTAGTTAGGGTTTTTTTTTCTTTTACGCTATTACCCTAGCAATCTGTTGTCCTATCGAACCCTGCCTATATTCTATCACAATATTTCTATGGAATAATTACTGTACCATATGTTGGATGCTAAATACCTAACACGCAAGTGCACGTATCGCAAACAAGTAATAAAAGTTGACTCTTGAGAGTCGGATGTCGATCCCACAGGGAATACTCAAATTATCTAATCCTAAGTACTAAATTCTAACAACTATGATTTTTATCCGGCCTATGCAAGTTTGTCAAATTAAATCAATTAAACAATTAAACTAATTATGAAAGCAAATAATCACGAGAAAATATCAATATAAAACCGAACCTAGGATTTTATCTTCCCCCTATGCAAGAATTTCTCACCCAAAACCCCTCAATTATGAAATATATGATTCCTGATTATTAACCCGAGACACTAACTTACTCATAACCCGTTGTCGCGTGTATTATGAGTCTATTATTCATAAACGGTTCACTATATGTCTATGCAAACCAATTATGAATAAATCATTAACTAACAAGTCTCGTAAATGGCTACCTAAGGTGATATATGTATGTCTACGACACCACATGCAATTGACACACTCATCCGGTGAAAACTACTAGAAGGTTCTTTTACTTACCGTCTAATTATCAAAATAGCTATGTCGAGTCAATCCCAATAATCACAGATAAAGCACATAAATTG